ACCCGCCGGCGTCCCCCTCCCCAGTCCGGAGGCCGCCGCAAGCGTTGGTGAGATCGGCATTCTGCGCGGCCACCAACTCTGCAGGAGGCCTCTGCGAGGCCACACCCGGCGTTCCGAGGCCCAAATGGGACCCCCAAACCAATGGGTTGGTATTCGGAAAATGGTTGAAAGCACCGGTCAATTCTCAGGTTCCATGTCAGGTTGCGGAAGGGTACAATGTGTGAGCTGCCAATGGTTTTTGAATGTGTTTGAGCCGCGACTATAGTAGCCAGTGACTCTCACAACTAGAGGGTTTTAGAGATCAAACATGTAGCAGTTGGTTCCCATCCAGCGGTGCGGGCGAAATGGATTCCAACCCATCTGCCACGAGGTCCTCCACCATTCCCACCGGAGAGAGCCATTCGACCTTTGGCATTGGGGCTGTGCAACAGAGGAGACTCATTTGGGTCGACCGGTCTGGGGGGAGAGAGAGACCCCCAGACCGGTCTTCCTCCGTCCTGATTGGTCCTGATTGGTCCTGATTCTTCAGGCAAACAGCCCGGTCTGGTGGGTTTAACAAAAACCATTTCAACAGCAATAGGACCCACTGGGCTGGTCTTCGGCAGGTGTAAATCTCCCGACTGGATCAGGAAGTTCCTGATGGAAGAACTTCACCTCTAAAGGGGGGGGTCTGTTCTGAACGACCGTGAAAGAGTTTTGGCCCAGGTGGTCTGGAAAGTGTATCCCTGAAAAAATATCAAATGATATCAAATGCATTACACCTGGACTGGACCTGTTTCCATTCATTCTCTTTCCTCATCTTTGAACCTGGACCTGCGGACCTGCTCGCGCATGTCTTTGGCCCACCTCTTGGCCCGGTGCCAAAACAACGCAGAAAGAGCTCGGGCAGGGGGCGGCGCCTCTCGAAGCGCCCCGCCTCGCGAAGAGCTCGGGCTTATCTTGCAAGAGCACCGACCTCGGTCGGTCCGTGTCCAGCGGAGCTTCGGTCGAGTCTCAGGCGGCCGTCGGGAGGGTCCGAGGCTCCAGAATCGAACAACACGAGGATCCTGTTCTTCCCCGGTTCAAGCGTTCAAGCGGTTCAAGTTTCCATGAGCTCCAGACCAAAGGCGTTCAGTGAAACAAAAGTGCTTCAACATGATTCCATTGTTGATTTGGGATTGAGTCTTCTAGCATATCATGACTATACCTATGCTTGGCATATCTAAATGGGACTTCAATTTTTGATCAAATCTCTGACAGTAAGGATGTGTGACTCACTTCAACGGCGTTTTTTCTGCCAATGGCTTTAAATGGCCAGCCCCTTATTACAGTAAATTCACCTGCACAGCAGGCTGCACAGGTGTCTGAAAGTAGTTGCTTGACCCACACCGCTATGGTGCCCCAAATGAGCTGTCTGGTACTCGCTGATTCTCTGGTACTCTGGTAATTAAGCTATTTTTGCACACCACGTTCACCGTCCAAAAGGACTCTGCAGGAAGGCGGCGCGATACCGCGTGATGAATCGATCATTCACGGTGTCTCCCTGCGAAAACACCTCCCTCCACAGTGTCACGAGGCAGCGCGACGAACCACACGACGAACCACGTCATGTTCGGATGCCTCGAACTGCCCAACAGCCCAACAGTCCGACTCGTTGCCGACGCCCCCAGCCAGTCACAATCCTCTGCCTTTCCTGTGAGGCGGGTGACACACCGAGGGTTGGTGGGCACTCCCCAAGAAAAACGATGTCCCTCTGGACCCTCAGAGCCTTCTGTTTGTGGGTTCGTGATGTTCGCCCAAAACTGCAGCAAAAACACGGTTGGTCTTATGTCTGTGCTGCTGGGGGTGCTCTTATGTCTGTGCGGTGTCTGGTCTTATTCCATATGTCTTGTCTCCTGTTCTGCCTGAAGATCTGGGTCGAGATTGAAATCATCCACCGTCCCTTGAGCAACCCATCTACTCCTTCAGTGAGTCTTGAGTGTCGGATGATGACACAAAGGTGGTCAACGCCCGCTTGGGCAGAAAGGAACATGACCAGGAAGCTTCCCAGTGTGAAATATGCGTTCCAAAAAGAGCATGTTTCGCTTCCACCAGGTCAGGGTGGCATTTTCAGCGGTGCACTTTGAGTATCCATCGTCGACCACTGAACAAAAAGAAAGGAAAATGGCTTCGACCACTGTACGCTTCTCAATGGTGTTTCAGTCATGGCACCACTGGTCTTATCCACCAATTGTTGAAATCTAACACATGTTTGTTTCATGTTTAAAAAAGAACACACACAACCTACTACGTGCAGGCCCCAAAAAACGTCCCGAAAACTGCCCGGAACGGATCCGCCTTGCGGTCCGTCGCACCCACGCGCCACGCTCGTGAGCGCCCACGGTGGCGACCGAACGACGCCTTGCTGTCGCAGGATCTGCTCGAAGATTCGCTTGAAGCGTGGGTCCTTCAGCAAAACCTCAGTATACATGCCTACGTCGACGTGGGCCGTTTTTAGAAGAGAAGACCTGGAGAAGTGGAGAAAGATGGGCGCAACTCGTGGAAGTGGGAGAAGTCAAGTTGTGAAGGGTTCCATGGCCAGCTGTTTGCAAAACCTGTGAAAAAGAAAGGACTTATGGATACTTATGGACTTATGGAAGACCGACTGCAGGCAATTGTTCAGTGGGAGGGAAACATCATTAATTATTAAACAGATCACAGGTACTGTATGCAAAAACTATTCAATTACCTTAGGTCTAAAGCCCAGCAAAGATTGACACTCAAACAAACTTGGTGATCTGCCACAGTCACTACAAGACTATTGTCTATACTACTATTAGGATAATCAAAGATCAAAACCTCTTCACTGAGGACACGACTTTGAAGTGCTCCATGCCAGGCTGCACGCAGGGCGAATCGGTGCGAAGACGAAGCGAAGACGAAGCGAAGAGGAAGACGAGGACCAGCCACTAGAAGTGGCTGGACCGTTCTTGTGACGATAAGAACACTATACATACACTTAGGGAGAAGCAAGGAGACTATACCTTCGCGGCCGTGGGCCGTGTCCAGGCGGTTTGGGAAGGACCAAACCTGCTAAGCAGGAGTCAGCAGGAGTTATCACAGAACGAACGATGAATCCGCTGAAATCGGACGAACGGATGCCGTGGGGGCGGGGGTCATGGCGGCGGGGGCGCGTGGTTGTTTGGAACCGCAGCTGAGACGGGTCATCACCGAGTTTGACCTTTTACCATGTAGCAAGTTGATCATGACTACCTGGTGGGTGTAAAATGAGTCATTGGAAGTTCCGGGGCAGTGACCCACATCAGCCAAAGCCAGGCACTGAAACACGAGACTCCTCCCTTTTTCATCTCCAATTTAATCTGGCTCGGGCATTGGCATTCCATCCAGACCGCGTACAGCTTGAAATAGAATACATGTTGCTTCGAAAAAGAACCCGCGAACTGGAGGACTGGTCCACATCATGATCGGTTTGCTATGAGTCCAAAGCAGAAGCCTTTGCATACCTTCCGAGCTAGCACCAGGTTAGCTCCAGGAAAGCAAAATCGGATTGAAACATCGATTTCATCCACCTCCCCTGCCAGGATCGCCGTGGAAGGAAAAAAACAAAAACAAACTGTCTGACCCGACCAACCCGATGGTTCACCAATGCTTACCGAGACCAAAGGCCTCAAGATCACGCTGCAAGGCTTGCTCTGCCTGGGGCGAGCGTGAGGGTCCGAGCCCGTCATGGGCGGGCTGAAAACCAACGGCGCAGCCGGGCGATGCGGCCCAACGGGCGCCGAGCAAACGATACCCATCGAGCAACACCCAGCAACACGTCATGAACACATGTTTAAAGATGAAAGGAGCCACTCAACATGGGAATTGAGTGTCTGTAACTATAATTCATGATCAAATACTCGTTTGGCTTGCAAATTCCCAAGCGTATTGCACTGGCGCGAATCATGGTGAATATCGCAATGTCTCGCAGGCCCAGGGGTCTATCTATCCCTAAGCACAATGTTCGTGTGAGCAATCTTGTAACCAACACGATAGATCCAATCAAATTGAAAGAACCAGGACCTTCCCAGTGACCTTTTGGCATCCCAGAATGAGGTCACCTAGGTCTTGAATTGAAAAGGTCACTTACCAATCCTGAAAAGGTCACTGGGAAGGTACTGGAACATGATCTCTCACCAAGTATATAGATGGATGCCATCAAGCAACCAACCAACCAACCAACCAACTAGGCAGCTTGCGCTTGCACCGCTCCCATCCTCGCCTTGATCGTGGTGAGATTGGTGATGGCCTAGATTCGCCGCGTGAGTGAGTGAGTTTGAAGCCGAGCAGGATTGGTTGGGAGATGTCATGAACCAAAACATCCAACATCGAACGATGGCGGTTTTTCAGGACTCTCCTGTTCTCGGAGGGCCACTCGGACCGTGCTGATCTTGGACTGGACAGCAGACCTTGTCTTATTGGAGTGTCTTGAAAATCCACTCAAGTCATCCTCTCAGACTCCGAGTTCAGGCCAGCGGGACTCCGAGAAAGAGGGGGTCCAAAAAATGGATTCGATGCACCCAGTGCGATAGACCTCTTCACTGCTCTGGCGGTCTGGATCGTCGAGCAGATGGGTGTCACTGCTCGCTGCAAGGCTCGCCGCGCACTCGTTTTCCGACTGTGCTGAGCGCAACTTTCATGCTGGTAGGTTGTTGGCCTCTCCAAAGAAGACTCCGCAGCCCTCAAACTCGAAACAAGGATATTCGATGTGAACACGTTTACCATGAATGTACACTCAAACACACAAAAAGAGTGTTTAAAAAAATTGCGTCTGCTCTACTACTGTATACTGTCACAAAAGTGTCTTTTTTATCTCCCAACAAAACGTGTCTCTTTTCGGAAACACCGGCACCTGGACCCTCCGGGTTCGGGTCTCCACCGGGGGCGCCGGTATGGACCGCTCCGGTCCACGCGCCGGGCCGGTGGATCCGATTCCGCGGTCCGCGCGGTGAGCGGTGAGACGTCCATGAGCAATGTAGAACTCACCGGAGCGCTTTGCCAATGTAGCTGGCAATCCTTGGTGGGTTTCGATGCCAGCTGTGAACACAACAAGCCGCGAAAGGGAGTGATAGTGATAAGTCCAACATCAACATCCAGTATTTCGGTCACAGGTCACGTGGGCATGCCAGTTTGAATTCCAAAAACTTTAAGATATATGATATCTGGATGATATCTGGATGGTTTCACTTCGAGTTTATTCCAAATCTAGTTGGATGACTAAGTGGATGTGAATCAAGGGCAGGGAAAGGTACCTGTTTGTCACGACTTTCGCCCACGCACCCTCGGATACTCATGGCTGGCTGAAAAACCCAGCGTCGCGGAACGACTGAGCAAGAACCTGGACTTGAACCATGGATGATCCAAAACACCAGCTCTCATGAAAAACAACATCACACACATCCCTCTAAGACTCCCTCTAAGTTGGCCCAAGCGTCTGATTCATGGCTCTCCTGTGCGGCTCGTTCTCCATGCCAGGCATCAACAAGGAGATGTGAAACGTCGCCTCGCCTCGCCTCAGGTCATACGCGGTGCGAGCCTTGGAGGCCTTCGGGGTGTGGGCCCACGAGGCTGACCGATGTGTTGGTTGCCGCCACGTGTTAGTTGTGAATAGCTTCCAGATTCCACACTTGCCACATCTAGCCCATGTCATCTTCAGAGATTTGAAAGAAGCATCGACCCCAATTCATTGCGAGTGCTAAGAGAAAAGTCATTCTGAAGACATGCTACGTGGAGACCCACCAACTTGATTCGCAAGGTATATAAGTGGACCCGTGCCCTTTCCGCATGACTTTTCATAGTTGTGCTTTTTTTCATTTCTTCACCTATTATTCAACCCTAAACAATCAAATGCGAGGGGACAATGAAACAATTTGCGCAGTTCTTCGATGTAAGTCCCAAATCCCTGAATAACTCTGGTGAATAACTGGGAGCATGTTTTCTGATTGCGACATGTTGTCCGACTGTAGTTCTGATATGTGTCGTGTATTCTGACCATCAAATCTGCCTTTTATTCCGTCATCTGTTTGAACAACTCTTCTACTTGATATGTGTTCTGGCGCTTGTTCGTCATGTACTCTGACTTTTGTTTTAACACTCGTCTGACGAGGTCAAATATATGTTCCGACACGTGTGCTGTTATATAAGTCATATTCAAGCTATTGTGGCATTCATCTGATTGCCCAGCCGTTATGCTGGATGATGCATGATGTGTGAGAACACATACCAGACTTGATGCCAGAACACCTGAAAAAACTGTGTCCATTCGCATCACGCAGCGTGTGTCATGCCTTCCTCCAAATAACGTCTTTGGCTGGGGATCAGCTTTCAAGCTATGTGTTTACTATTATTGTGTCCCTTTAGGATCCTTTAGGACCCTTCCTTAATCTTTTCAGGTTTTGTTTGACTCCTAGAACTTTGGCAGAGGAACCTTGTTCAAACGACCTTATTCAATCTGATCTCAAGAAACAAATGTTCAAGGCTTCGGGGCAGTGCACAAGCCCCTGGAATTGAATAATGTGTTTTGAGGGTGGACAGTGGACATCATGCAAAAGAACTCGGACCTCGAGGTCAAAAAACATCTGACTTTAGCTTTCTATATCTTTCTATATCTTTCTATACTATGTGTTGCCTTCAATATCATTGCGCAGTTTCTGCGCGTTTCTGTTTGGTTTGTGCTTCAACCTGTCTAGCTGCACATGCGTGCCTGCGTGTTGCTAGTACTACAACTCATACTGATACTACTACGAATACGAGCCGAGGATTGTTTTGGGGGGATCTATCTGAGGTACACTGGGACCCTGGATCCTAAAGGAGGAATGTTGATGATTCAAATGGGTTGTCCAATGGTTGCCTGGCTCCCAACACCTGCAAAACCACAACCACCAAGCTGCACGTCGCAAAGGAGGACTCCCTCTGCCGCACCCACCTTGGCGGCTTGCTGCGCAAAGGCGGCGTTGTCGTCGTAGAGGGGATCCTGTTCACCTCGAAGTGGCCGAGCGCCGGGCCACAGCATATGGTTGTGTAGCTGCTGGCTCAAGTAGGGAGACCTCCCAGGCAACGACCCCCCCAGAGAAGGAAAATACACCAGGGCGTCTCACCAGGGTATCTCCCTACTATAGACGACATACACATAACAGGATCCACCCAATACGTGCAGTCCGCCAGTCCCCGAGTCCAAATGTCCGAAGGCTGATCATGGAACCTATCTGCCCATCACCGGGCGAGGGGAGGAGATGACAAGGATGAAAGTGACAAGTTGTACAACGAAAAAGATTGCGCAGGTACTTGCGCAGGTCTAAACCCATGAGGATACATAAAATGAAATGCGTGCTACACTGGAAAGAGATTATATAAAATCAACCTAGAACTACCCTAGAACCCATGCCACTGCGACCCCCTGTTTTGACTGGAAAAAACCAAACATATTTTGTGTGGTTGGTGGTCCAACATACAGGTCACTCAGGGTCTAGGAAGTCATGCCATTTTGGCGACGGCCTTGGGAACCATATATGTGGGACTATTCGGCGATCCTGGAAGAAACTCCGCTCTTTTGATGATACTTCGTGGTAGTGTAATCTTGAAGTACGTTGGTAGCCCGCATACTGTGTACAAGTGTTGGTGGTGGAGTTGTTGAGTGGGTGATGCAGTGTGCTTTTGGAGAAAAACATAGATGTTGCTTCGTTCGGAAAGTTTGACCTTCCAGAATCTTCAAGATAAAGTCATCCTCCTGTGCAAGCAAAACCACGTGAGCTCATAGCGGAAGATTGCTGCACAATCTGGGATATCTGGCGGGTTCACCTCCCAACCCTGGCCCTTCGCAAGTTCATGTTCACCTCCCAACCCGGCCGATTGCCCACACATGCCCGCGTCGTCGCCGAAGTCGGTCTGAGACGCCCCTCGGGCAAAACCGTCCAAGCTGCAGGCCACCAGCATCAGCGGGCGCTCCTGGAGCAGCTCCAGCCGCGTCTTCAGACGAGACGAGGAGGGCGGTGTGGGAGGCAGTCGGAGAGCAGAAAAACCGGCCACAGAGGGAAAAGCAGAAGCCCGGCACCAGGAACCATTCCATAGGTGAAAGGGCCAATTCCCCTAGAGTTCCGCAATAGGGAGGAATTGTTCATTCACGTCAGAAAACCCAGAAATTGAACTCAGGACATGAACAAGACATGCAATATCTTTGCACCAGCACCTTGTTTTGGGTCTCCAAATGTCCACTACTTGCGATCTCCTGTCCACTACCTGTTTCGCCATCCCTTGAGGTTTCGGTTGTGTCGCCACCTACATCCAGGTGCTCGCACAGCTAATTCACCCAAAAATCGCTCCGTGGTCCTTGAGCTTGGCGACCAACTTTGGATCGCTCGAAGGCTGGAGCGAGTACATCCTCGTGCAAAGACAAAGGGCGGTACCAGAGGTACGAGTATACCAGAGTGGCTTTCGACCGGCAAAAATGCACCGAATGTTGACATCAATGACAACCAACCCTGAGAAGGACCTTCGTTTTGAGCTGTTTCTTTAAAAGTCAGTCAGTCCACCGGAAAAGGAGAGCACTTACTCAATATGAGCGGCGGCACTTCTTCGACTCTGCACATCGGTTTGTGCCAAGCAACTGCAAACACCTAATGCTTGTGTACAACAGGTGGCAAGCCAGGTCACGGCAGGCCACCAGCCACGTGGTTTCTTGCTTTTAGGCGCCAAGCTGGATCACCCCCGCGCCCCAACTCACCAAAGCTCTGGAGAAGCACACCAACTCGAAGCCAAGGGTTACTACATATGCATTGGTATGCTAGTTTCCAGGTGCTAAACTGAAATACACTATCTCTCTATATATTATTTGGGGGACCTATATAACAAGTTTAAGACTTTAGTAGGAGGTCATGTCGCAGGGATCGGACCTGGAAACCTAACCTTAACCGGTATTTTCATTCAAAAGTATAAGTCAGAGGTCCGTCCCAATCATCCCCAAGTAAGGGGACCTAACATGGTCACATCTCCGAAAACCATCACCTAACACTGCAGGACCGGTCGACGTTGGGCCCCGCCCCTTCCGGTCGAACGAGCTGGGACCGGTCGAACCGGCGGTGACCAGGGGGTCGAAGGTCGTGGGTTCCACGAGGAGCGGATCCGCCGGTCCTGGCGGTGGCTTCTGCAATGGGACCGTCCTTCGACTCAATCTGAAGATAGCTGTCACCTCGGAGAGGCTCGGATCACCGTCCACAGGGTGAGAGGGAACAAGTCACCCCCAGCAGAGAAGAAGGATGCCTTACCTCCTTGTGACTTGTGATGACCATGGTTGGAAAACGATTCCCATGTTGCCAACACAATGATAGTGTTGTGAAAACGATAACAATGTTGTGCTTGGGATGATGAGCATGACGTTGTGAAAGCAATGACTGAAGTAGATGAAAATACTATGAAGTTGATGAAAAAATGAACTGAAGTACGTAGGTGCAACAAGAAAGCTCAAAACAAATCCAAAACTGTGCACAAATGTGGTCTGGTTTGAGAAGCCTGTGAGCATAAACGAAAGCCGTGAGATAGCTGCCTAGAGATATTAATCAACTTCGGAAGGAATGTACTGATTGGATGATATTGTATTATATCAAATTATATTACATAATATTGACATTGACATCATCACAGGCGCAACATGCCTAGCAACTTATGATGGCAGTGATGAACGTCCCAATATCAAACCTAGGTGATACTAAGTGCTTTTGTATGTTTTTGTGCCATGAGAGTTGCAGGTGGTGAAGGAATTCCTTCATCTTTCATCAACATCTGTCACTCTTGTCACACACCAAAGCCACGCGCATAGCGCATGAAGCGCTCTGTCAGGAAGCAGCTCTTCGCGTTCCGGTGGTGGGAATCAGCGGTGAAGCTGAGATCTAACCTCAGATCCAGAGCCAAGAACCTTAAGACACCCCTCCCGGACCCGAGAAGTCAAGGATGCCTTTTTCTGAGTATACTCTGGTTGATCAAACCTCACTTTCATGTTGATATTTCAACCCGCCCGCTGCTGCTTGTCCAGAATGGTCACCCCTCAAGGCCTGGCAGGTTTTGATAAACAGTCTAGGGTCCAGATGACTTTGACGGGCCCACATGTCTCCAGCAAAAAAGAACATGGAAAAGCTGATCTTCCGCATTGGCCAACAAGGTCATGGATCTCTACTGGCTAGTATGGGATGGAGCAACATCTGAACAGCATGATGCTCGACGTATCTGCATCTAGCTGCAAATCGATAGTTCTGAAATCAAGCTCACGTGCTTAAGAACTAGCATGCTTCTTTTATGCTAAAAAAAGAAGTGGGTGGGTGTGCGTGTGTGACGTGCTGGTCTTCCCAACAGCCTAAGGAGCGGTGGGCAAATACCAACAGCACCACAGATCTGGCTGCTACTTTGCCTCAGCTTTGTGACGATCGGCGTGTAGCCACGGTGTTTGCTACGTCCCCTCGGTTCACAACGATCGGCCAGGGTCGGCGACGCGCGAGAGATCGGATGTGTAGACTGTGTAGTCGTTCCAAGACTTTCCCCAGAAAGGTCGATGTCTTCCCTTCTGCGCTGTCTTCACTCACTTGTCCGTTAGTTACTTGATGCTACTTGTTTCGTCTGGTTTCTGCCCAAGTGGCTCCAAATAGGTCTGCACCGCCAAATAGCCACCCGCCGAATCTCCTTTTTGCGCTGTCTAGTCTACGGGGAAAGTGACACCACCGATGATGCACTTTTGCGATCAAGTATGCTTCTGGAGACAAACTGGTTCATATCCCCAAATGGGTCATAAAAGTGGTCTTCTGAGACTTGAGCCAAGAGTGGGGTGTGTCACGACTTCTTTTTGCAAGCTTTGTCGTGTGAATTTAGAGGAGATGTGCATGAGTCGTATGTGTCCCCAAATGCCCCAAAGTTTCATGCGCTTTGGTCTACAAAGCCAGATGTGACTTGGGTTCCCATGTCTGCGGAGCTCAACTGTCTGAACATGTTCAGTTGACGGATTTGTGGGAAATGCTCCTCTATTACAGTGAGATTGCGGCGATGCAACAGAACACAAGAAATAGATCTGACCCTGTCGCCAAGAACATCTTCCACAGGAAGAATCTCTCCAAAGAAAATGATCGCTGTATGATGCTGTAGGTCCTTCAGTAAGAGATCTGAGCACTCATTCTCCAAGAATGATCCTCCACGTCAGTCATCCGTGATCCTCCACGTTTCTTTTCTTCCAACATCTTGGTAATCTATTGGATCTCGTAAAAGAATAAGCTCCCAGCTGTACAAGGAGCTATCTCATGCAGCTTTACACTCGAATTCAACACCCAACTCATCCACGCTAAACATTCACTTCCGGCTTTCGTTCCTCGCTTTGAGATGGTTTTTGGTCTTCTGGAGGCAAATCTGCCTCGTTGGATGTGATGGTAAAAGCGTTCGAACAGGTGCACCTCTGCCTCTGTCCGGCGAGCGCGAGCAAAGCACCCCTCCACCCCAAGAAGGCTCCTGAACGGCCTCCTGGTGGTTTTGGAGGAGTTGCTGTGCTCAAGAAAACTAAAATTCGGACCCTCCAAAGCTTGCTGTGCTCATGAAATTACGTCAACTGCAAGTGTTGTGTGTTTCTCAAGTCACATTTCTTTGGAGGCTCCCATCCCTTCCCCCCAAAACGGTTTTTCTTTTGCGAGCTCATGGCTCCTCAATTGGTGAGACACTGCTGCTGTGCTCCTTACAGCGACGACATGGGCAGCTGCCGTGTTGCGTGTGGCAATCGCAGGTGCGGCCCCACAAAGCTCCACAGGAGATGGCCTCTTTCCGCGGTTCCCAGCAGTTCCCTAAATGGACTCTAAATGGATGAAAAAGTTGGAGGGAGATAGAGATACAGTGGTTTCAGAGTGGATGGGACAAGCCCCAAGATGTCCTTTAGATGTGGGTCCATATAAACCACCGACATTGCGGGTGACTTCTGCCATCTGCTCTCAATCCACAGTACAGTAGATAGGCAGTTTAGTTGTCCGCAACTGATGATGACCAGTTGGCTGAGTCTGACTGTCAACAATCATGATCAACATCTATCCTCCCTCAACTGTCGCAGCCCATTTTGCGGAAGACTCTCTGGGGGATCCTCTTTGACTTCCATGAGTGGTGGAGGGAGGCTATCCATCTCCAAATACAAAGCAAGGCAGCTTCCAGAATTCACAGTGTTGCTTCACAGTGTATGTTCATTTGTTTATATAGTCATTTTAACAGATGTTATACTTATATTACATAATCTATATATTATATCTATACATGTAAGTCCACACAGGTTTGCAGAACATACGTAATGTTCCTCTGCTGGCTAGCTGGCTAGCCATGTTGACTTGGGGAATCTCAGACATGTGAAGCTTCGTCAAGTGGCCCAACGTTCACTCCTAACCTGTTCGGGCAGGTCATGAAGCTTCCCACATCCGCCTCACCATCCACCATCCACCCCAGCCCTCAGGATCCGCAGGACACAATGTGAAGATGTCGGACGTGGTTCATCCAGCACCAGTCTTCTCCCATGTTCATCCATCTCCCTCCTCCAACAGGATTCCAAATCCAATCCCACCACGGACCTCCGCCATCCTGCGGACGTGTTCCCTTCACAGCCCCCAGTGCTCCCCTCCATCCTGCCGTGCCATCTCGCCTTGCCCTGCACGAAGAGCCGCGCGGAATCCACAGTGCAGCGCTCCTCCTGCAGCTCTCGCCGCAGCACGTCACCGGAGCCGAAGCCCGCACCCAGCGCGGCCCAGAGCCGGGTCCAACACGAAGGTCGGGGAGGCACAATGACCTGATGGCAGAAGTGTGGCGATGGGGGAATGAAGGGGAACGTGACACTGATGAAGGTGGCGAAGTCTTGAACTCTTGAGAACGCCCTCTAGCTTCTTGCTTGCCTCTTTGAAGGCAGATGCAATAGGAATACCTCCAGAGATTCTAGCGAAAGTGGTGAAACTCTGAAAAACGATCAAGTCCAGGTTCTTCCTTTGAACTCTTGGTGCTGCCAATGCTTCATATCATGTGTGGACCAAAAACTCCTCCTATCCTATCACAGAAGGGTCCTGCTCTGGTTCTTTTGGTTGGGAATCTGCAGATACATGTTGTGTGGGTCAGTGTGGGTCATCCACACCTCCCCATGTCCACCATCCGTGAGTTTTCCCAGTGTGGAGCCAATCTCAGAAACCCACCATGCATCACCAAACCGACCTGCTTGGAGGCCATCGCTGTCACTCCAACGTTGTCATCACTTCGTCGACGGAAAGCACCACTGGGGATCTAACTCCACACCGATCTAACTCCTTGGTACGTCGGTCCTTCCGTCTCCAAGCGTCGGAGGGTGCTTTGTACCTCTTCAGCATCCTGAGCGGAGACGCTCGCTGAAGAAGCTGAAGTTCTTTTTGGAGGGCAGATCACCCACCTCTTACAAGGCCCTTAAGAGCATGCTCTATTGAAGAAAGAAGAAGAGACAAATCGTTCGGTCTTCTCTGGTTGTCTGAAGATGAATTTCCCCAAAGAATGGGAGGGAAACAAGGAAACATCCAAGCCAGCCAAGAGGACATTTCTCATTTGAGTAAAACGGCGCCAAGCTGATCTTCCTGATGTAAACTCTTGATATCTCTTGATTGTTGTCAAACCCCCCATTTGGATTGCAAAAACCTCAGCATAGGGTGGGTTATTCATCAAAGCCGGAACTCTGGTTGGTGGTTTGAAAAAATATCAATCATGCAGTGGGTCCACTTCACCCAGCCACAGGGTTGAACACAAAGATCTAAAACCATCACTGCCAGTGATACTAACTATGGGTTGGTGGACTAGTCCACCACTAAGAAAACCCGAAACCCTTCCCTTTCCCCGCCTTTCAAACCAGTGCTTTCCTTCGCCGAGCATCAAGCTACTAAGCACCACCGAGACCGAGCTCATCGCCATGGCGCCGCCCGAGACGAAGGGTGCCAAGGGTTGTCCCGTGAGGGCGAAGAAGAGCCCGGCGGCCAAAGGGATGCCAATGCCGTTGTATCCTGAAGCAGCGAAAGCGACGAGTCCAAGGGAACGAACCAACATTTGGAGAGTATGCGCTGCGGCAAAAAGGATGGTCCAAAATCCGCAGGCCAAGAACATGAGACGCTTCCGAAGTTTCACGCGAGGGGGCTGCGTGACTGGAACCACTGTGACTGAGATGTTCACTCCAAACAAACAGTTTCTTTCTTGGTTTGTGCATGCGTGCGTCACATAAACATGCTCCAGAATCCCAACGGCATCACAGAGAGCGTCGCATGCAGAAAATGCCATCGGCATCTGGAAAGAATCATGACGATCATCCAACCAATGGTCCGCGTGCTTCAGTCGAGCAGAACACCAAGGACCTCTCGGTGTTTGGAGAAACTCGATCAGCCAAGCATCCCAGCGAGAAAAGGAAGTTCAGCTGAATACCTCAGCGCCAGTGCAGACCCTTGAAGTACCCCGGCCTGGTAGTGGTGGATGGATGGACTACCAGGTGGAGTAGTTCATGAGTCGGAAGTTCTGGGAGAGCACCACACTCCGAAAAAGTGCTGAATGTTCAACCGAACTGATGGGATGATGAACACTAATGCTGATGCTGGATTCTGTGGGATCGGTCGAAAGTGGTGGAAAATGTCTTCCTGGAAAGTGGTGGAAAACATGGGTTCGTTCGTCCATCGGTTAGCACGCATGGGCCACATCTTCTGTGTCGAGTAAAAGCTTAAGGACCAGGTCCATACTATCATCAAGAGTGCCATCAAGGCAAGCAAATTGCATCATCTGCAGCTTGCTCTACTTCCGTCCGGTCTGTGCTCCGATGTCCACACGGATGTCGTTGGAATCGGATCATCCCAACGAAAAAAAACCCGACAGAATGAACGCGACGAACACAGCGGGCAAGCGAACGGCGCTGAAACCCAACACCCCCCGGAGGAAGCGCTATGACTTGACCTGAAGTTAGAGGAGAGCTTTCTTCGGGTACTGAAGACCATGTTTGACGGGCTCAGAAGTATCTCTGGGGGATGCCGTCCGTCCGTCGGATGGAAGTCTCCGGAAACAGGTGTGAAAAGTGACGCTCCAAAGAATTCGCAATCCCACAGTGACGAGTGACGCTCGCATCAGCATTCTGTCGGTATTTCGTCTCAAAGATCTCAAAGTATTTCATGGACAGTAATACATATACCTGGAAACCTAAACAACCAGAAACAAATGGTTGTTCCAATATGGCAACCTGAGAAGCTGCAAAACGAAAGCCAGCGCTTCCCTTTCTCGACAACTGCGCGTCGAAGCAATCAAATGAGCTCGCGCAGCCGCTTGCGGCCGCGTGTCAAATCTGCTTCATGTCTTGTTCTGCCCACACATAGGTAACCATGTCAAAACAAAAACAATGCACCCTTTTGTTCAAACAAACATTTTTTCAAGCTAAATTCAAGGTGGCCTGAGACCAGGGTTTGCTGCTCTAAAACACTCTGTTCAGGCCACCTTCAAAATGACGGTCTGCGAAGCGAGAGCAGAGGATGCATGTTGTCCTTCTGCTGCTTGAATGTGACATATACCCTTCAATAGGAACTCGAACAGCTCAAATCCAGAAGATTCTGAAAATGGCCTGGCTCCCTATATGAACCCTGGGAAGACTGGGAAGCGAGGAGGTGGACACTCCTTTGCTCTCGCTTCGCAGA